TTCATAATCATCGTCATTTTACTGTTAAACATTTTGATTAAAAGAAATCTTTCATGAACTAACGAAATAATACCATTTTAGCTTCGATGCGAAGCTGAGAACGTATTAATTTTACTATAATGTGTTTTTTTTTTGTGTGTCATTTACCACTTTTTCTCAGATCTCACCAAACCGATTTCTTTCAACGATACGTCAAAAGATCACAAATCGTATCTAGTCGAAGACATTACCCTCAAAAATTGAAAAAAATTCCCTCGTTCTCCCTCAATGGGGCAACCCCCCCAAAAAATTACAAATTTAAAAATCGCTTATTTTCAATTTTTTTTACTGAAAACTGCCATAACTTTTTCAATAATGGTTATATCAATATGTATACATATTATATCAGTATGGTTCAGAGTGTTGGGTGGTTGATAAGAAAGTAGAGCAGAGAACGAGTGTAGCAGAGATGAAAATGCTTAGTTGGATGAGTGGAGTGACTAAAAAAGATAGAATAAGGAACGAGCATATAAGAGAGAGTATAGGTGTAGCGTCATTCGTGGATAAGATGAGAGAAAATAGACTTAGATGATTTGGCCATGTTATGAGGAAAAAAGAATCGGAAGCTGTAAGAACAGTTATAGAAATGAATGTCGAAGGAAAAAGAGGTAGAGGAAAACCAAAAAAGAGATGGAGGGAGGCTATTGAATACGATTTGTGGACAGCTGATGTGAACGTAAATGATGTGGGAGATCGTGTCAAGTGGAAGTTTAGGATAAGGGTGGCCAACCCCACGTAGATGGGATTAAGGCGAGGAAGAAGAAGAAGTTTATACCAATAAAATTTTTTTTTTTATAGATGCATAATTTACCTATCATTTGATATACTTTTTTTATAAATATGACCCTTTACCTGCGCACAGGTGGGGATTCAAAAATACAACTTTTTTAACTTGACTTTTTAAAGTGTTCCGGAAATACTGACACTTTTTTATATATTTAAAATTAAAGCTTATGTAATATACTTTATAAGGGAAAAAAATTTGGACTTTATTTTTTCTTCACTGCGAAAACAGACATCAAAGTTAATAAAAAAAAATACGATTTTTGTAAAAAAAATTATTTTTTTATTTTTAACTTTATAATGCTATAACTTATTGAAAAATGTATGTATCATTCTATTTTTTTTTAAGATAAGTACTATTTAATAATATTTATATATTATTAATATATATATTTATTCGTATATTATACTTATAAATCATAAAACTTGTAATCAGAATATAAATAAGGAAATAAGAGATCATGTAGTTTTTGGAATAATCCATTAATTTTTTTTAAAATTAAACATTACCTACAAATTTGCATCGAATCTTTTTTTAAAATAGTGAATTATCAATTATGACTATCAATAGATTACTTTCTGTATTGTCAGTTAGTGTAATTATAAACTCATAACAATGTGCCTTACTACCAGTGGATTTTTCAATCCTAATGACATTCTCTCAAACCTAGCAGTGGTGGTTGTTGTGATAAATGCTGTTTTGTCCTTGGGTGATTCAGAGGTATTAGTAGATATCTATTAGACAAATCCATTGTCGTAAACCGAGTATCCTCCAATATTTCGCTCACTTAAGTGTCAATTTCTTCCATTAGATATCGGTCACCAATGGTTTATTTATCGAAGCGTCGATAGTCTATACATAAATGCTTTGATTTATCTTTTTTTTCCTAGTAAAAGCAGAGTGGTTGCATAAGGGGATCTAGAATATCTAATAATCTCATTTTCTTTCCACTCAGTTAAAATAATATTAATTTCTTGACGTTCAATAGGAGAAACCTTCTATGGTCGGCATATCACTGGTTCACTATTAGATAATTTATTAATTTTCATTTACACAAACATTAGTACAGCCTAATTCCTTCAAGTTCTTTGCATAGTGTCGTGAAATTCATTTGGTAGTAGTAATAGTTCCTCTCGCTTGGCTGATGAAGCGTTCTCAACAATAAACACATCTCCTTTCCTTAATGATTAAACTTTTATTAAATGCTCATCTTGAACAACTGCTTGAATACACCCTTCTCACTCACTGGAATTTCTCTTCTCAACTGTAAGTTCATAGGAAAGACAGACACTGTCCACTAGACATGCACTAGATCAACTATGCCACATCCCCACTGTGCTGGGTTTTTTTTTAAATAAATGAACATTTTTTCATAAATAACAACTCTGATTGATTAATTTAAATTTTTATTGGTGGGCATTTATGAAGGCATCATTTATAAGTAATTATTTTAATATCACCTAGTCCACAATATTATATTTATTGTTATTACGTTCATTTATTGTACTTAAGGGATTATAGTTTTTATTTTATATTAAAAAACTTTATTTTATATACAACAGATAATTCTTTCGTATATTTACTATGTTATAGTTACAACAAATTCTTAATCCAATAGAAGGGAAACTTGAAAGGCTCTTTGAATAATACTGATGTGTGAATTAATTATGAATTATGGATATATAAAAATTTTCTTTGATGTAAACTTATTTTTAAATATTTATTTTAAATATCTAAATATTTTCGTCTACATAAGTTAAGTATTTTAGATAGTCTTAAAATTATTTAAAAATAACGAAACCCTATATAAGCACACTTGTTATCTAGCAAGGGTACATTATACTAGCACAAATTATGCCCTATGAAAATATGAATAAAAAAACATTAAAAGTTTAATATATATTTTGAAATTGCATCATGGGATCAATTATATTTGTATTACACTCGGGCCTTTTGATGATAATAATAAATGTAATATAATGTTCTATTAATATTTGTATAGTTTTTGCATTGAATGCTAATTTTATTATTTCAGTTTATACAACCACTTTCTAAATCTGTATTTAATCCAAAAATTCAAATGCCATCTGAAACATTGCCAGGTTCTCTCCCAAAAACCATTCATGCAGAGCGACTTAAAAGATTATATGCAACAATTTCTATATCTCAGTTATTAAAAAAAGAAGGAATAACCAAAGATGAAATGGTTTTTTCCAAACTTAAATATTTGGAAACTTTTTATTTGAAAAATACAAAAAATGCAAAATTTGTGTCTTTAAATTATTATGACAACACCGAGTTTGACTGTCGTAACTCTGAAGAATGGATTAATATTGCTTATTTTAATGGTGTTCAATGGCCTATTCCATGCGTTGCATATTTACCCATAAAAAACATTGAAAATTCAAGTGATTTTTGTTGGGTTAATGCAAATGTTATTGATTATGACACAGAATCTAGAATGTATACTTTAGTACTACCAAATGAGCAATCAAGTGTAGTTCATAAAAGTCCCAGGATTCATATTTATTTTAAAGGAGAAGATCCTAGGATACTTTTAGAAAGAATTAAAGATGCAATCCAGAGACGTAAAAGCTGTGAAAAATTAATGCTGTATGCTATATATTATGTAATATTTTATTCCCACTCTAAAAATAAGACGGTTACTGAATGACTTATAAAACATATACCTCTGATTCATCTTTCTCAAATATTAATTTTTTTTTTTAATCCTATTTTCTATCATTTCGATTTTTATCGCCCTAAAGTTGGCAATTTAGTATGCTGACAGATATTTTATAATTTCTCAGAAGTCTGAGAAATTCAAGACTGTAGTTTATTTACTTTTTAAAGCATTATAAACATACTTAATTACATAAAAATGTTCGTCTAACTTTCGGATTATTAATAGATTAATGTTTGTAAAAATGAAAGATTCTTTCTAATTGTACACATATTTTGCAAGAATTATCAAGGTATGATTTATTTTTTATTTATATAAGTTGCAATGGATAAACCTAAATTTTCAATATTAAAAAATGAACCCTATTGATTCTTTTTTTAGAAACATTTTGTATATAATATACAGAGTGTTTTTTTTTATTATAAACAATTCAATAACTCGTTGTAACATGTCATAAACTTCTAAAGCATTATGCTACTTATTATGTTAATCCAAAAATATAAGCAAATGCTTTAAGTTCCGAGCCCTGATTATTATATATTATATAGCTAATTATAGCTATTATAGAATTATATTAAATTGTTATTGTTAAATAATTTAATTTCAATAAAAATTCTCATAATAAATTTTTACGAACCATTTTATGTTTGATATGAAAAATCAAGAATTTTTTAATTTTCTTTTCTGTTTATTAATGAGAAAGTTTGACACCAATTTGTAATTGGTGTATAAAAAGAAATATTTGAAGACATGGATTTCCAATTCTATTTTCTACAATGGATTTTACTGCTGTACAAATTTACCCACCCGAGAGCCCATAATAGCAAGTGCAGCTTAAATCTAGAGCTTATCAACAACTAGTTTATCCACTGTACAACATAACGCACAATTTTTTAGTTATATAAATTTTAAGAAAGAGGCTTGATTTATAAAACATTTATATAATATGTCAATCAAAATTTCATTTAAAATATTTTTAAACTAGATGGTATATGTATATCGATAAAATCAACATTGAAATTGTCGAAGGTTTATCGCTTATTTCAGTAAACAATATTCTTGAAAAAATTTTTAACAATATTAAATTACAAGTAAATGAAAAAATTAGACAAATTGTAAGTATATGTAGCTTAAGTTATTTTGATAAAACCAATATTATACAATAATTATGTGAAAGGTTATAACAGAAATTACCGATTATTACAAACGATCACAAAGTTCAATTTTTATTCATAACAAATTTTTGAATTCGCCAGAACTCAATGAACATATTGATTTACCATGTTTAGAATATAAAAATCTAACAAAAGAACTTGGTAACTATTCCATAATTGTTGTGTATAAAATAGGTAACATAAAGTAATTATTTTATATTAAATTTAAATTATAACAGGAAAAATAATCAGTTCACAATATTATTTCAAAAAAAAAATTAAATTTTACCAAGAAACATTATTGGTATTACCAGATGTTTTTATAGCATTATGGTTCTCAAACATTGAGTGTTTATTAATGAGAAAAAAGAGATTTTTTAAGACCAAATTTGTAAAAATAGTATCACTTAAAGAGTTTGAAGAATTACAATCAACATACTTTGTAGAGGTATAGTTTAAAATAAAAAAGTCAATTAAATTTTCATGTATAAAAAAACATAAAAAACAATAATTGTTTAATTCTGTATTTCTTTAATCCAATGTATAATATTTGATTTAAGAGACACAAAATTGTATAAATATATATATACAAGTAGACCACATCAACTCTAGTTAATTTTGATCTACGTAATATTTTATTTATATTTATTAGCTTCGATGCGAAGCTGAGAAGGTATTAATTTTACTATGATGTGTTTTTTTTTTTTTTGTCTGTTACCACTTTAACACAGCTTCACCAAACCGATTTCTTTCAATGATACGTCAAAAGATCACAGATCGTATTTAGTCGAAGACATTACCCACAAAAATTGAAAAAATTTCCCTCGTTTCCCGTAAATGAGGGAAACTTCCCAAAAAATTACAAATTTAAAAATCACTAATTTTCGAAATTTCTTCAATTTTATTTTACTTAAAATTGTCATAACTTTTTTAAAAATGACCGATTCAATATAATTTTTTTTTTATAGATGCTTGATGTTTTTACCTATCATTTTCATAAATTTAACCCTTTACCAGCCCACAGGGGGGGATTCAAAATGACAACTTTTTCAACTTAACTTTTGAAAGTGTTCCGGAAATACTGATACTTTTATATATATCTTAAATTAAAGCTTATGTAATATACTTTATTATGAAAAATAAAAATTTCAGACTTTATTTTGTCTTTACGATGAAAATGGCTACCGTATGCTATTTTTGTGTTAAAATTCTCGATTTTATATTTTACATTTTTAACTTTAAAGTGCTATAACATTTTAAAAACCCAGCACAGTGGTGACGTTGCATAGTTGGATCAAGTATAATGATATCTGACAGTGATTAAAATCACCATAAAAAAAAACGCTTCGATGCAAATCTTTAGATAGTGTTTAATTTTAAAAAATTGGTGTATTATTCCAAAAGCAACATGATCTGCTAGTTCCTTATTAGTACATAAAATAAGCTTTAATTTGATATATGTTTGAAGGACGCAGTAATTCCGGAACATTTTCAAAAATTAAGTTGAAAAAGTTAATTTTTGTAAAAAATTTACAATTTTAAATCCCCCCCAATGAACAGGTTAAGTGATAGATTTTCAAAAAACTGATATCAAATGAAAGGTAGATATCTAAGGTTTTAGTATAAAAAAAAATTATGTTGATTTGTTGATTTTTCAAAAAGTTATGGAAGTTTTAAGAAAAAAAAGTGAAAAAATTTCGAAAATTAGCGATTTTTAAATTTGTAATTTTTTTGGATATTTCCCCCATTTGCGGGGAACGAGGGAATTTTTTTCAATTTTTAAGGGTAATGTCTTCAACTAGATAC